CCACTTTATTTACTGCAATAGCACAATGCATCCTAAATCAAAAGCTTTCCTCGATCTCCTTAAAATGTTCTTCTTTAAACCTCCCACACAATGTTGGGCTCTCTGAACGTATTTTACAGCTCAATATACAAGGATCGTCGCAAAATAAATGCTTCAGAACATTAAGATCGATATTATATGAAAAGGGCTAGGTATTTAACTGCAAATCAAAAAAATAACATTTTGTATAAAAATTAATTCCGAATCCTAAGCAAAAATACTTATTGCACAGCAAAATAGTCACCTCAAAATATTGTTACATTAGTAACAATTTTAGTTCGTGATGCATCTCTATTTATTTAAAACTAAAGCTTTTTTAAGAATGCATGGCTGATAATAACCACCTCACAACATATGTATTACATCGTTTTTTTATTTAAACAAAGCTGCCATATTTTTATCTCTTGCAGCAGTTTACCTAGGTGAAATACCATTTTAATTGACATAAGAATCTAATTTCTGAAGTGAAACTTCTTTAGGCACGCTTGACTTGGGAGGTAAACTGGCGAATGTGTTACGATTTCACGTTACGATTAGTGTCATCTAGTGCTTGGAGGGTGAAAACGGATCCAGCGCGGATTGGTGGATGATAATGGACCCAGTGCGGATTAGTGGGTGATAACGGACTCAGCGCAGATAGGTGGGTGATAATGGACCCAATGCAGATTGGTGGATGTTAACGGACCCAGTGCGGATTGGAGGGTGATAACGGACCCAGCGCGGATTGGTGCTTTTTTGTATTAACAAACAGTTTATGATTTTCAGATCATTGGAACTAAAGAAATTTCACTTCAATCGGGTGGTCATACTCGCTTTTTATTATAATCACCAAAAGTGTCCCAATGATGAGCAAGTTTTGAAATAAATTTGATAGTAATCTTAAAACATTTCTAATCAATAAGGCTTACTATTCTGTAAACGAATATATTGACGAAGAAATAGGTTGGGTAAATAAATAAACATGACATAAACCCATAATATTAATGTAAACTGTAAAGCTATTTTTGTATTTAAATGTTACTATTAATTAAGATATGTGATTTAATTTTGTATAAAATATGTAATTGTAATAATAATCTAATAATTTGCCGTGCCCTTACAGGGCTCTTGTTTGCAACCTAACCATACTTGTAACACCTGTGTATACAACAAGATGCAATAAATGAATATGAATATGAATACTTAATGGGAAGCGAAACCTGTTGCAAAAATAATTGTTTTGTTATGAGTGTGAGTATAATGCGTCGAAGCCCTGGTTAATTTTCGGTATATTTGCTGTGCAATCAGTATATTTGCTGTTCAATCAGTATATTTGATATGACAATCATATTTCTATACAATTATACAATTTTGTTTGTTACTACAGTATAGACGTATTTTTTTTAATTATTTTCAGCACTAGTTTTGTTCAACAAATGTTTTGTTTGCAGTAAAATAATTATTTTGATGTAAAAATAATTTAATTGCTGTAAATGACTTGGTGGGTACTAAGTTATTTGCTGTGCATTTAAAAATATCCCTATTAAAAATTAATTTATAATGACAATTAAGAACTTAAAAGGACGATGGGAAAAAAACACACCCAGCTTCGCCAAAAATGATGTAATTAGTATGAATCGGTGGATCTATGAAAAACTAGCCTTTTTATTATGACAATGTAAAAAATATCTTTGTAGTCAAAAGATATGAGACACCGTATAAAAATATCCTGGCAGTCAAAAGATATTATACATGGGCATATTTAAGTAGCTTAATAAATTAATTTTATAGTACCTTCATTTTACATTATTAGTAACCATAATAAGATGTCATATCGTACTCCTATACAACCAGATATACGACAAAGCCTGCCGACCATCCTGCGCTTGCACTTACTGAGCGGTTTACGGGGGTTGAAGTACTTGCAGTAGCAAATAGTCGACTCGTCTTACTTCGTCGTGATTGTGCGTCCCTGTCACTTGACTGATTTTTATCTAACACGCTTTAGACATTGGAACACGATTATTGGCTTTGTCAATTAGTATGGATGAACTGGAATCATGTTGTCACCGAAGCGTGGACAAGTTTGTGTGATTTGTGGTCGTTCGTTTTACATAGAAGAAAATTTACTATAACGAATAGACTGTTTGAAAAAGCCCCAACCCATGCGGGGATTTTTGGATTTACTTTAGCGCGACAGAATGACATAAGGAGGCAACCTTGCTCCTTGTGAAGTACTCCCATAATACCTGAGCCACAATACATACAAGAGCAGTACTCCGACTTCATACTAGCGCCCGAATCGACGCACGCACACAGACAAACGACATTTACACGGCCGCTAACCAATCTTGCCAAGACAAATCTACGCAGTGCCACGTCACGCGCCGCCAAGACTGGTCGTTGGCCGAGTTAAGTTAACTGCGCCGCGCCGCCCGCGTCCGTTTCGATTCCGTAACATGGCAATAGTATCTATACACACACAATGAAAATCTACACAAATATGTTTTACATTTTGCAGGTGCAGGGTAGGACCCTTGCGCTCCGCTCAGTCAATTCAATTCAATTCAATTCTTTATTGCATATCCACAATGTACAAAAAGATGTTAAATATGACAAAATACGATCATTATGGACCCTGTCGGGCACGCAACGAAATGAGAGATAGATAGAAGAGAGGGGTTACATTCTAATTTCTACGTTAGTTTATAGATTGAAAGAGTTAGGTACTGAATGTCACTATAGTTAATTCATATATTATTTAAGTGAAGAAAATCAATCATTTCATCTATATAAACAAACAATCAATTAATAGGCGGGTCACTAGCAAAAAATAAAATAAAAATAATATTTGTTAAATTTCAATGTCAAGTTCAATAATATTTATATATGTATGTTTGTGTGTATAATTGTATATGTCATTTATGTGTATCATTTTATTGTCATTTTGTACATGATAGTCGCTATTTACTTAAGATTGTCATTCAAATAATCATTAATACTATAGTAGCACTTCTCGATTAATAACAGTTTTAATTTTTTTATAAATAGAATGTCATTAGTTTCGTTTCTAAATGTCTCTGGTAAATGGTTATATATGATTATGGAAAAGTTAAAGGTACTTGTTAAGTTTAGCTTGAGGCGTGAAGTTGGCAGTACTAATTTGTTTTTACATCGCAAGGTATACTTCATATGTAAATTCTCTCGTTTAGTTTATAATTGGCTATTTTTCTTTATAAATTTGCATATCTCTAGTATGTATAAACAAGGCAGGGGAATTATCTTAAACTTCTGAAAGTACGGTCTACAGCTTTCGGTATTGTCTATATTTGCAATAATACGGATTAGTTTTTTCTGCAATGTAAATAAAGTGGGTGCGTCTGTGCTATTTCCCCACAAGATGATGCCATAGTTCAGCCAAGAATGCGCATATGCGTAGTAAGTTACAATTGCCGTTTCCACGTTAGTAGTCTTTTTAACTTCACGAAGTGCATAAGAAAAACTCGATAATTTAGATTTTATTTTCCTTACATGTGCTTTCCAGTTAATATGCGTGTCTATGACTATACCTAATAAAGAAAATTCCTTAACACAATCTAAAGTTTTGCCCATGTAATTTACTGACAATTTTAATTCTTTCTTTTGATGCGGGTGGAAGGTCATTATTTTTGTTTTAGCTATGTTTATTTCAAGGTTATGGTCATTTAACCAGTCAGAAGTTTTAGCAAGGATCGCGTCCAGTTTTATATTAATGTCGGTATTTGCTTCGCAAGAAGTTAGCATGGATATATCATCTGCAAATAATACACATGGCTCCTCAATATTTTTAGGAAAGTCGTTTATATAAATTAAGAACAATAAACACCCAGGAACACTTCCCTGGGGTATTGATGCATTTATAACCCTGCAGTCGGAGTATACATGTGTGTATTTTTTGGACTTTTTATCGAAGTGTTCTATCTCTACAAATTGTTTTCTATCTCGCAAATAAGATGAAAACCATTTATGAGCAGGGCCGCGGATTCCAATATCGTACAATTTTTTAAAAGTATGTTATGTTGCACCCTATCGTATGCCTTCGTCATGTCTAGTAGAATGCCTACTCCGTACTGTTTTTTATCTATTTTTTTAACTATTTCATTAATGTATTTATATACAGCTAGAGTTGTGGATCGGTTTTTTCGAAAGCCGTTTTGACTGTCATCAAATATTTTGTATTTTTCACAAAACTTGACAACGCGATTACAGATTGCTTTTTCAAATATTTTAGAAGCTGTAGGTAGAAGGGCTATAGGACGATAGTTGTTTGGATCGGATTTTTCATTTTTCTTATAGATAGGTTTAACTATTGTTTTTTTCAGAGAAGATGGAAACGTGCCTTCTTCAAAAGATTGGTTTATTAAACAAGTGAATGGATAAGTTAGTTCCTCTACACATTCCTTTATTAATTTAGGTGGAAGTTCATCGATGCCATGACTATTTTTGTTCTTAAGGGACTTAATAATTTTATGTACTTCACGACACTCTACTGGACTCAAGTAAAATGTATTTTCGGTGGGGCTGAGTACAGGGCAGCCGCTAGCGCAGTGTGTTGCGCAGCCGTCCTGGGATGACGGTTTGAGCCTACCGATTGAAGCGAAAAAATCATTAAAAGAATTTGCGACAATTTTTGGGTCTGAGCATATTTTATTATTTATTTTCAATTCTATATTACACTGTTCCTTAATTTTTATTTTATTAGTCCTCTCATTTATTATATTCCACATCGTCTTAACTTTATTATGTGATTGATTTATTTGTTTTGTGTATTGATTTTTTTTAGCCCAGATAACTGTTCTTTTTAATAATTTTTCATATTGTTTATAATGTTGTTTTAAAATTGGATTATTTGATTTTGTGGAAATAATTTTCAGTAACCTTTTATTTTTACACGATATTTTTAATCCTAAAGTTAACCAATACTTCTTTGGTGTAGATTTCCATTTGATAGTCTGCTTTGGTATAGATGTATTTAATGTTTTAGTTAAGGTCTCTTGAAACGCATTATAATTATCATTTATATTTTTATGTGGGTTTATTATTTGCTTCCAGTTTATTTGTTGTAGTTGAAATTTAAATTCAGATATGTTTTTATTGTTGTATAAACGTTTTTTTGTGTACCAATATGTTTGTTTAGAACGTATGTTTGTAAGATTAATAGTGGTTCCAGCATGATCCGAAAAACCCAGCTCCTCTACATTGGTATGAAAGTATGTATGGTCAAAGTTGGTAAATATAAGATCCAAACATGTGGACGTAGTCTGTGTTATATGTGTCGGTGCTTTAATATGCTGTGTAAACTTATTTTCTAACATAAAATCCAATAGATCAGTTCCCTTTTTGTTATTGTCTAATATATTTATGTTAAAATCACCGCCTATAATTATATTATATTTAGAGTATTTTTTATTTAAAAAGTTCAAAATCAACTTCAACCGGTCACGAAATGCGTCTTCCTCTCTTCTATTCCAATACATTACTACTAACAATAGATTTTCTTTACTTAATTCTACCGCTGTTACTTCCAAGATGTATTCCAGTGAAATTTTAGTTATATCAATTATTTCAGTATATTCCAAATAGTCTCTTAGTAAAATGCAAACGCCTTCTCCAGCGCGCTCCCTCCTACAAAACGATGACGCTATCTAGTAACCGCTAAAATTCAATAAATCTAGTTTAGCTTGGGATAACCATGTTTCTGAGATGCATAATGCTTGATATATTGGATTTTCTTGTAAAAATGCCTCTATTATTTGTTGTTTGTTGTTGATACTTTGAACATTCTGGAACAGAATCGTAAATTGTGTTTTTTTAGTTTTTTCGAAAGGAATTATCATTATTACGGCTTGTATTATTCTCTTCCGGACTTTGCGTTTTTCTTTCATAGTCTTTTGAATTGGGCTGATTCTTCATGTTGAATGATTGGGCAACTTCGCTCATATTCACTCTTTTTCCTTCTATAAATAATTGGTTGTTTTTCAGTATTGCATGTAGGCCATTTTTTCTTGCTATATGCATTTCCTCTCGCAAAGCTTTCCTTTTCAATTGGGTGGCCCTGTCCAAAAATTCCGATACTGAAAACACGATTCCGTTAAAGCAATTACTATTTTCAATTAAATATTTAGCCATTCTCTTTCTTATCAGCTCTATTACCAATGGTCGATTTCCATTGTTATTGTAGCGTCCTATTCTATGTGTATCCTCTATGTATCCATTTAAATCTACATTTAAAATTTCCTGAAAAATTTCATGGATTCGTTCCAATAAATTATGTTCTGGTTCTTTGTAGTATTCTTTTAAGCCATACAGTACTATTTTTTTCCGATTTATTTCAGCATTTTGGTGTCCAACAGTATTAATATTTTCATTGAATGTTTTTAGTCGATCAATCTCTTTCTGTTGGTTTTCTAATTTCATATGTAATTTTTGTATTTCCAGCTTATTGCAGTTATTTTCTTCTTTTAGTAAATGTATATCTTGTTTTAGTTCTTCCATTAAAATCTTTACTGATTGCTGTACTTCGTTTTTTATTGCGTTTTGTAGCTCTGTTATTATTTTTATATTATTTTCCTGTAGTTTTTTAGCAATCGTATCGCTTAACATTTGCAGTGTTAATTCGGTAGGCGTATTAGTTTCTTTGGTTTCTGTGAAAATGGTATCTCCCAGAGAGGAAATATCCTCTGAACACAAAGAAACATTTATTTGGGCAGATGTATGTTTTCGAAAGGTGACATTTGCAGTTTCAGGCGATTGAGGCCGACGGTCAATTTCATTTTGATTTAAAGGTCTCACTGGTGTGTTTAAATTTCCGTTCTTGGGCAACTTACAGTAGCAGGCAGGGCATTTCCACCCTTTTTTATGTTCTTGTGTCATAGTGTTGCGAAACAGTCGTAGGTATCTATTTCAAGAAAACGGCTAAGTTACGCTACTGAACTGCTCTTGTATGTATTGTGCCTGAGCCTTACAGCCACTGTACTGTAATGCCCTTGTTTCTATTATTTTCGTTCGTTATAGTACCTGTACCTATTTAACTTAAAATAACTAAAGACCCCCGGGATGGAATTTGATGCGCTTTAGCACAGATGATCATGACTATAATACCTTTCAAACAAATGTAGTTTAAGCCGTGGCGGACGTGGGTGCAGCGTCCATACAAATTTATACATAACCATTATATTTCCCGGCCTTGTTTCTTTTTTACTGTAATCTCCACTATAAAAACACAAAAAGACAAGACACACCCAAACATCCAAACATAGAATGCTCCTGCGCACTGTATCAGTGTAATACTACATGCACTGTATCAGTGTAATACTACATCCACCTTTACAATTGTAGCTGTAACTCATAATATTTTTCGTCGCACTAAGCACTTTCGCTTCTGTTAATATTCCCAAACCTTCGTGGTACAGTCGATCACTTATGCCAGCTTCCCCGAGTCTAGTCATAAGTTTTTGAAAACTATTTGTGATGGTGAGATTCTTTCGAATCAAAATTTCATGGTAGACAGTCAGCATGTTCTGTGGCACCTTTAACACCGTAGCTTCTCCATCCACTATAGTTTCAGCTTGAAACAACGTGAATTGACCATCGACTACAATTGTAATTCCATTATGTTTAAAACTTTGTAATTCACAATCTACAAAAAACACACAATTTTTTGATGTATTAGAAAACGTGTCGAATTGTTTATCACTGATAAAAAATTTGCTTTTTGGATCCAAGTACGGCTTTAAATTTGATCCATATATCTCGTCGATAGTTTTATATGTACTTGGTGGACCGACGACGGTTAGAAAAGAATACATGTGTATGTTAGCGTAAACAGCGAGATGTGTGCATAGAGTTAAGTAGAAATAGTTCATAATCCTGTGCTTGAAAGTTTTTGCTTTATATAATGAAGAAGCACCCATGAGTGCACCCCAATTGTACAACATCGTGTTGCTGAGTGACACGCGTCTTCTGTCAAACATAGTAAGTAAATATGATGCAAAGGAAAAGATAATATAGGACACAATGAATGCATATAAGCTACCGACTTTAGCAACCAGGTTTTGCCAAGACCTGTTTCTTCGTTTAACAGTGTACATCCAAACAAACGCTTGTTTACCGTAAACACCTGAATATTCAACAACATCACCATACACTCTAAATAGTCCACCTGCACAAGCGTCCAAAGTACCGTTAAGCAGAAAATCCAAAAATGCTAGTCGAGAAGGACCGTGGTCTTCACTGTCAAATATAAAATAATATTGCAGCGTAAAATTGAAATATTGTGACATTATTTTCATGATTTCCACGTCACATCCTCTGATATCCTTTTCTTTGATTGGATCCATTATTTGCATTGATTTGCTATCTTTAATCCTCGAAAATGGGACAAATGTTGCCATACCGACTTTAAAGAAACATCCCATTAAATCTTGTGGTTCTTTATTTGGAAAAATGTTGTCCTTCTTTAAGGAATCGCAGGTGGCTATCTTAGTGTCTGATACGGTGTAGTTCATTTTACAATAGATAGGATTTAGCTCCGGTATATAAGTAACAATATCATAATTACCATCTTCTTTTAATTTTGGAAAAGTTATATCATATTTACTGAGGTAGTGAGATATAACATTATTTAGCAGTCCTGTGCATTCTTTTGAAGAATTGAAAATAACCACTATATGTTTTACTACTGGATTGACGGAGTCGATTGGTACTTCCAATAATTTGTCACAATCATGGTAATATGATATGGAGAGAAAATGGTCTTTCATAACATACATTTCGTATACATCTGAAGTAATATCTTTTATTGTTGGTATGTTATATTTAACTGTTATATCTATGAGCCTATCATAAAACTTATAAGTATCTGTGGTATCCCATTTATCTTGATTAACTAATAGAATCGTTGGAGTGTATAATAAATTTGTCTTGATTATTTTATTTATGCATCCGATTATGAAGTCAGATTTATTATTATGCGCGGTTTCAATTTGTACAGAAGTAGTGCAGTAGTAGTGGTGAACCATTGTAGCAGATAGAACACACCATATAATTTTAGAGGGCATTTTATTAACCCCTCTTTAATAAAATTTCAATGTACGATATCAGCAACTAAATTGCTGTACACAGATGTTAGATATCAATATAACTTCCATTAATTTAGAGACATTTGCTTCTTCTGAATTCCCAACGAAAAGTTGAAAACAACACAAAGGACTTTTATCTTTCACCGTAACGTCTACGAAATGATAGTTTCAGCATTTAAGTCGGGAAGCTTTTAGAGGAGGAGGCGGGTGAAATACATTTTATCGTTTTAAATACTATCATTTCCTCAGAACAACTATTAAGCCAGAAACCGTGACTCGAGACAGATACATTAACTGAACGTGCATTGCCATGAACATTGAAATCCTTTTAGGTTGATTTAACTTTAATTGCAGTATGAAATCGGTTTTTAAATTTCTAGTTTATGAAAATAATAATCCAGTGAAAGTAAGTAGATTTTTAAGATTGCATCAACGATAAAGAAATTCAAATACGTATTGTAGCCCTAAATTTTTGCTCTAATGCATAAAATTTACTTTTTATAATTTATTAATTACACGGTTAGAAAAGGACAAAAAGCCTCCGTCCTATATCACTCACGGACACGTTGTGCTCCAGCGCACTGTTCATAGACTTCGCACACCGACTGTGTATAACGCCGCCCTTATTTATCAATATGCCAACGCTATAAAACTTTTAAGAAAAAAGTCATTTTACATTTTTCTTCTCGAACACGTTCCACGATTCGCTTTTTTGGCGAAGCATAAGGAACCCCTATTTACACAGATTTATACAAAATCCAACATGTGCCGGCTCCACTTGAGAAATGGTCACACGTTTTCTTAATTGATAATAACATGGAAGAATAAACTATTAATATACTTGCTGTCTTCAACGCCTCCGACAGGAGGTGCAATGTTATGATGCTATGTTACGGTGCTATGTTATACCATAGTATACCGCCATGTTACCCTGACGTCCTGCTACCCAGGCAACGTCACACATAACCAGTCCCTACCCCAGAAGGACTCTCCAGTCCTAAGCAGCTGACGAAGCCCCTGCTTACCCCAACTCATCTACTTAACCCGACGAGTTTGGACTGCACTCCGTGCGCAGACTACCCTTCGAGCTGTCTACTCTGGACCTAAAGCTAACCAATTCTTTTTATCTAAATTAACTTTAACTTTAACCATACCAAGCGTTATCGACCAAATGCGCCACGACCTGTTTTTTTTACCTACCTATTTTAATTGTAACGACCGTTTATATGCGTGACCGTGCGGCTCCAGCCAGCGGCTAATTTCACTCCGTTTCACAAATATTGTTTTAAACTTAACTTAAATATAACTAACCTTAAATTAAAGTCATTTACCTAAACCTATTCATTTAAGGTACGGAGGTTACCAATAAATGGAGTTATAATCGGAGCCTTATTTTTATTTACCCCACTTACCCGGTTTTTCACGTTACAATTTGGCGACCCTGCCAGGATCGTGGTTGCATGAATATTAGTATTCCCTGTCCTCGTTTCTACAAAACCAAGACAGGTTGGCGATAACGCATTTAACTTACTCGTTTTTAAATAAACTTAAATACTATTTCATAAAAATGATACAATTAACTGTTTAAAATTTCAATTCATATTGTGGATTGTTAAAATCTTACTATTACTTAATGTTTTATCTTACCAACATTATTTTCTAATGTTATATTAAGGTGCTACTGTGTATCACTATTTACTACTGTAAACCTAACTGTATACTTAAGGACATATTTCTTTGCAATTGAATATTGCACTGGTCGATCACGCTTACTGGTCTAACTACATTTTACCTACAAATTTAAATATTATCTTTACATTTGAATTCTTACATACGAAATTTTTACCCACTTTCTCACTATGGAAGAAAGGCCTATTAACCTTAACCTTTTACATAAAGATGAGTTGTTGTATGAAGTAACTATACGTGATGCTAAACCGGTTGACACTTGTGCTGGTTTGCGTACTCAGTTACGTGGTTTATTTAAAGAATTTCCTTCGGATGAAATTGACTTATATGAAGGTGACCTTTCACTTGAATTAAATTTAATTTCCCATAAACTTGACGAATTAAACGAATTATCTTCTTCTAAACCCCTAACTTTAAAAATTTTAAATAGAATAAATGCTTTAGGTAACCATTTGTTTCATCGCTTAACTAGAGTTCACCCTATTGAGGAAAATGACTTAACATTAAAATCTAAATTAGATCTTTCTTTAAATAAAATAACCAACAAATTTGATGCTTTATTATCCAATTTCAAGAGCAGTTTACGATCTCCCGATGAATCAAATTATGATCCAGTACCAACGGAACCTAACTATATTCCACCAAATTCTAGTAAAGGAGTCCATACTTTAAATTTTAAATTTAATGGCAAAACGTGTGTTGTTGCATTTGTTCAGCGAATAGAAGAGTTGTGTTTATCGAGAGGCATTAGCGAAAGTAAATTATTTGAAAGCGCTTCTGAGATTTTTTCAGAAGAGGCATTGTTTTGGTATCGTGGGATAAGGTGTAATGTTAATTCATGGCCTGAATTAAAACATCTTTTATTTGAAGATTATTTACCGTATGACTATGATTTTAGATTATTAACTGAAATAAAAGCTCGTACACAGGGATCTAATGAAAGTATTGTAAATTACTTCAGTATTATGCAAAATTATTTTAGTAGGCTTCGTAAACCTTTAAGTGAGATGGAACAGTTAGAAATTGTTAGGTATAATATTAAACCCTCTTACTCATTACAATTAGCGATGGTGTCCATAAATTCGTGGTCCGAATTGAAGAACCATTGTCGTATTTTAGAAAATGCTAAATTACGTGCTGATTTATTTGTCGAACCAAATAAAGCTACCTTAAATAAAAATATGCTTGCTGCTGATTTAGCATATAAACCTAATACTTTTACCTCGAAACCATTCAAAGAATGCGCGACGTTGAATAAATTACCTCCTACTACTAAGTTTTGTGTGAGATGTCGTGAGGACGGTCATGTTTTGAAGAATTGCAAGCGGTCGCACCGAATCGTCTGCTATCGTTGTGGTGAAATTGGTGTAACGGCTAAAACATGTCCGAAATGTAACGATCAGCAAAAACCAAAACTTACTACTTCAAAAAACTTGTAAGCTTGGACCAAGGAACTTCCAACCTAATTAAACCAGCTTCACTTACTTTACTTGCCTCTGTTACCCAGAGTCAAGGTAAAGTTTTAACGAGTTCTGTTAACCAGAATTCACCTCTCTTACCTGATTCTGTTACCCAGAGTCAGAATAAAATTTTACAGAATTCTGTTACCCAGAATTCATTCCCTTTACCTGATTCTGTTACCCAGAATCAGGATAAAATTTCCCCGAGTTCTGTTACCCAGAACTTATTTTCCTTACCTGCCTCTGTTACCCAGAGTCAGGATAAACTTACCCCTTCTGACTTTGTTACCCAAGGTCAGGATAAAATTTTATCGAGTTCTGTTACCCAGAATTCATTCCCTTTACCTGATTCTGTTACCCAGAATCAGGATAAAATTGCCCCGAGTTCTGTTACCCAGAACTTATTTTCCTTACCTGCCTCTGTTACCCAGAGTCAGGATAAACTTACCCCTTCTGACTTTGTTACCCAAGGTCAGGATAAAATTTTATCGAGTTCTGTTACCCCGAATTCACTTACCCCATCTGCACTTGTTACCCAAGGTCAGGATAAAATTTTATCGAGTTCTGTTACCCAGAATTCACTTACGCCATCTGACTCTGTTACCCAGATTCAGGATAATTTTCCTTTAAATTTCCAAGATTCTATACTTAAACATATTTCTTTGGTCCAGGAAGCTGAAGATAAAAGACCTTACCTAACTTTTACTATATTTGATTTAAAATTCTCAGGATTACTAGATTCAGGATCCGAGATTTCTATTATTGGAAATGGTTATGACAAACTATTTTCGGATTTTGCCACTTTATATAATTCTAACGATTTGCAGTGTATTTCTACTGCAAATGGTTCTACATCTCGTGTGTTAGGATATTTCTTGTTACCAGTCACGGTCGGGAATAAAACCGACGTGATCAAATTTTATGTCATACCCGATGTTTCTACCAACATCCTACTTGGATTAAATTTTTGGGCTAAGTTTAATATTGCTCCGGATATTCTCTCCTTGTTAAGAAATTCTTACCGTATTTCTGCTTCTATTCCAGTTTCGGATATTACCTATTTGAAACCGTTTCATTCCTTGACGGATGAGGAACGATTATTAGCTGAAGAAACTATTAATAAATTCGTAAAACATATCCTTCGAAAAGATTGGCTTAGGCCGTACCCCTTTAATATCCCATAAGATTGATACAGGCGACGTGGCTCCAATTAAGCAGAGGTATTATCCACTGTCTCCTTCTAAACTTATTGAGTTGAACAAACAACTTGATGAGATG